TACATTGCATTGCCTATGCCTTATACTTTGCATTGTGTATGCTTAGGTTACATTGCATTGAGTATGCCATCGTTTGCATTGAGCATGCCATCATTTGCATTGTGTATACTTAGTTGTTGCGTGCATTAGCATTGTGCATGCCATTAGCCTTGTTAGGTTGTTCATATTGCATTACATGATTGCATGCTTGAGTCGCATTGTGTATGCCATGCTTGTATTCCATTGTTGTTTGGATTAAGTGTTAATCCGAGCACGAAAAGCGAGGGACGTTTCATACTTCAAGTGATGAAACGTGTCTCAATTCTCGGTCGCTGACGCTCTTGATTATCCATGATAGAGTTCTAGGCATTTATGTGTTTTTGTGTATTCATTCTACATTGAATTTGCACAAGTTAGATCTTTGGCCATCATGCATCGGGATGCGTGATCGATGGTCTTGGATCCGACTATGCCTCTCCCTTGATGTTTTGAGGTGATATGGAGTGGCATAGTGCATACATATCCTTGGGAGACCCTCCATTTTCTCTATTTTGTGCTCTGCTGCAACTTGGTGTCACAGCACACCAGTGGCCGGTAGTGCCTTGCAGATGGCCGACAGTCCTTCATTCTTGGCTGGCAGTGCCCACTCTTGGTCGGCAGGGGGGTCGACAGAAGCTCCTTATGGCCGGCAGGCCACTGGTGCACTCCTCAGCATGGTTTTGGTAAGGTTCAGGAGGAATTCCTTGAGGACACCTTGCAAATAGAGTCTCTAAAGAGCAACCGGAGAGCTTTCGGGGGCAGTAACCGAGCATGCATCCTCTTCTCCCCCAACCAGAGCTGGAACAGCATTGTTTACTGTTTTCCTTACTTGCTAATTAGCATTTGGTTTTGTAATTTAATTAGTTAATTTGTTAATTAATTAAGTTTTATAATAATTAGTTGTACCTAGTTATTCATTCGGTTATGTAATAATAATTAGCTTGTTAGTTAGTTAATTAGTTGGTCTGTATTATTCATTCAGACCCTCCGTCGAGAGGGCATATTGTTGTAATAAGTGTGCGTACTTGTGTCCATGTCTTCCAACCCCACGTCTTTCTCCCTTTCACTTACTTGCTTTTGATGGTTAGTTTACGGTCATTTTCAATTAGCATACTTATGCTCGCATGTTTGCATCCATTCATCTGTCTTGCATGCACCGGGCTCGGCGCATCATACTAACTGCATTGTATTTCAATTCAAAGTTGAATACATGTCATCAAATGTTGCATCTCATATGCCATCTTAGATTAGCTGAGCCTATTTCTAGTTGCATTTTGCATGTGTTACATTAGCCATCTTAACATGAACTAGGATCATGCATTGATTACTAACCAGTTCTTTGTTTTGGCTCGGAGTACACTGTGAGTGTTTATGCTTTAGCATACTGCATGTGTGTTATTGTTGCCATGAAAGCATGCTTACTATGAAGCTATTTGCTTATTTGATAAACTGTCTGAATGCCTGTGGGTGAAGGTTGGGTTACTTGAATTGGAACAATTCATTGAAATCCGCGATTTAGCCTACTTACGAGTAGCAAACTTCAAACCGTTTTCAAACAAATGGATATGCAATGTTTTGTTCCAACTTAGGCGATCTAGTCTATACTTGTTTGTTGTGCGCATCACATAGTAATTCTAGGTTTAACAATCGGAATAAGAACACATGTGTTTTCAAAAACAAGATATCATGCTTAGTACAGGCCAATCTTTGATCGGGCGAGCGGGGGTGCTCATTGCATGACCTTCCCCTCTCGTACCCAAGTTCCCGAGTCGAGGCAACTTTGGTGATGACGGACACGTGGCCTTAGGCACGAGTTAGGGTTTCCTAAATTCCCCTAATAAAATATTTAGGTAGCGACTCTGTATCTGGCAAAGCAATCCATGTTTGGCACTTCTTTACAAAAATCAGTTTTCCAAAATGATTTGGCGGATTTGGACTCTTTGGTGATTTATCGGTCTTACATTGTACTTTGCGAGATTAGATTAAGAACCGTAACATTGAGTCCGAACTGTAGCAGTAAGCTCGGAACGAAACGAGATTCGCGCCCCCCTCGCGAGCGTAGATGTCGGAGAGTTCCCGGGAGCGCGTTTACAGTAACCTTCGCCACATTCACCTTCAAAGACAATGCACAATAATGGTGGTTGCTTAACCTGGAGAAAAAAGATATTGTGACTTGGGCCAGATTGTTAGAGATATTCTATGAAAAATACTTTCCAGATTTATTGCGGGAACAGAAGGCGTCGAAATTCATACATCTAAGGCAAGAAACCATGACAGTAGCCGAATACGAGAGCAAGTTCACGCAACTAGCTCGATTTGTGACATACGTCATCCCCATCGAAACTCGAAAAGCTAGGAAATTCGAAGCAGGATTGGATACTGAAATCAAGAACAGGCTGAAGGTTTTGAAACTATCAACCTAGGCGAAGGTAGTGGATCGAGCATACATTGCGAAAAAAGGGCTAAAGCCTTGCGCTCCGAGGAACCAAGCCAAAGGAAGCGATTTTGGGAAAGAGATAACAGAAGACCCGGTGTCACGCCTCCCAAGAGGGTAAATACGGGCACAACCAGTTCAAGCAATCAAGGTCCTGCAAATCCTAGAGGTGGCATCATTCTAACTTGCTGTACTTGTGGAAGGACTCATTAGGGACAATGCCGGCGAGACACGGGAGCATGCTTTAGATGGGGCCAAGTCGGCCACTTGCTGAGAGATTGTCCAAAGCTTGTCAATCCTACAGCCAGCCCCTCTGAGCCAGTCCGAAAACCCGCGGTACCTAGAGGAGTGAAGAAGGACCAAAAACGCCAAGGAAGGGCTTTTGCCTTGGTAATTGGAAACCCAGAACTTGCTGAGAATGTTGTGTGTACACTTTTTATCTGTGGTCATTTAACTCATGTTCTCTTTGACTCTAGTTCCACTCATTCTTTTGTTGCACCACACTTTGCTTCCAAGTTAATATCAACACCCGAACCCTTAGGATATGTATTGTCTTTGTCTTTTCCTTCTAGTAATTCTATCTTTAGTACTAATGTGTACAAATCTTGTACTGTATCCTTAAAAGGCAAAACCTTACATGTAGACTTGATTCCCCTCTGCATTAGTACCCTTAATGTAATGTTAGAAATGGATTGGTTAGCTGCCAACCATGCCTCTATCGATTGTGAAGCCAAAAAGGTCTTCCTCCGGTCACTAAACCAACTCGAGCTTATCTTTGACGGAACTAGAGTTTCTCCCCATCCATGTGTTATATCCTTCATGATAGCCCAACGGCTTCTAAGAATGGGTTGCTGTAGTTGTATCTGTTATGTGATTAATACTCAACAAGAGGCCCCCATACTTGAGGAAATCCTTGTGGTTCGAGAATTCTCGAATGTATTTCTTGAAGACCTACCTGGTACCCCGGTTGACCGAGAAATTAAATTCACCATTGAAACCCAACCTCGTACACAACCAATCTCAAAAGCCCCTTACCGTATGTCTATGACAGAATTAAAAGAGCTAAAGACTCAACTCCAGGAACTATTAAACAAAGATTTCATTTGACCTAGTACCTCACCCTGAGGAGCTCCAGTACTATTTGTAAATAAAAAGGACGGCACGATGAAGTTATGCATCGATTACCTGGAGTTGAACAAAGTCACCATAAAAAATTGGTACCCTCTGGCACGAATTGATGACTTGTTCGACCAACTACAAGGTGCCCAAGTGTTCTCGAAAATTGACTTGTGTTCTGGCTACTATCAACTAAAAGTCAAAACGGAAAGCATTGAAAAGATTACCTTCAGAACCCGTTACGGGCACTATGAGTTTCTCGTCATGTCATTTGGCGTCACCAATGCTCCAATGGCTTTCATGGATCTCATGAATCGAGTGTTCAAACCCTATCTTGACGAATTCATCATTGTCTTCATTGACGACATTCTTATATACTCCAAATCGCTTGAAGATTATGAACACTACTTGCAAAAAGTTCTACAGACGCTACGCGATCACAAACTCTATGCCACATTGAAGAAATGAGAATTTTGGATCACCAGTGTACACTTTCTCGATCATGTCATCAACAAAGACGGCATCTTAGTTTACCCCCAAAAGGTTGCAGCAATCGTGGATTGGCCACAACCCATTAACGTATCTGAGATTCGAAGCTTCTTGGGTCTAGCTAGCTATTACCGGCACTTCGTGCAAGATTTCTCAAAGATAGCATTACCTTTGACCCAGCTAACTCAGAAGAACACACCCTTTGAATGGACCGACAAGCAGGAACGTTGCTTCCAAGAATTGAAGAACAGACAGACTTGTGATGGCTCCTATGCTAGCACTCCCCACGGAAATAGAAGGGTTCATAATTTATAGTAATGCCTCATACAATGGTTTGGGTTGCACTCTTATGCAAAATGGGAAGGTTATTGCATATGCCTTACGTCAACTAAAGACCCAAGAGAAGAACTACCTGACCCACGATTTGGAATTAGCCGTAGTAATCTTTGCCCTCAAAATCTAGCGTCATTATCTCTACGACGTAACCTGCGAAATTTACACAGATCACAAGAGTCTCAAATATCTGTTTACATAGACATAATTGAATATGAGGCAACGACGATGGCTAGAATTTATGAAGGACTATGATGTGGAGATCCATCACCATCCAGGCAAACCTAACGTGGTAACATATGCGTTGAGTCAAAAGATTACCAAAAGTTTGGCATGTATCCTCGTTTCCCGGAAGATTAATGGATTGCTTGCCAACATAATCGTGGAACCCGAGCTGATTGAATAAATTAGAGTCCGCCAATGCGAAGATAAACTTTTGAAGAAAAAGTACGAGAAGCAAGGAGGCACGCCTGATCCTGACATCATAATAAGCAATGGGATACTAAAATTTCAGAATCGAATTTGCGTACCCGACTTTCCAAAACTCAAGAAAAAAATATTGGTAGAAGCTCATAGCTCGAGGTTTGCGATCCACCTTGGCAATACGAAGATGTATCACGATTTGAAGGAACATTTCTGGTGGACAGGAATGAAGAAAGACATAGCAAGCCACATCTCCAAATGCCTGCATTGTCAACAGGTTAAAGCAAAATGTTAGAGACCTGCAAGAATTTAACAACCACTCTCTATTCCTAAATGGAAATGGGAGCACATTACTATGGACTTTGTGGTCGGGCTACCGCAATCAATCTCGAAGAATGATGCAATATGGGTAATCGTAGATCGATTGACGAAGTCTGCGCATTTTCTACCAATCAAAATCACGTACTCCCTTACTAAGTTCGCCACTCTGTACGTTAAGGAAATCATTCGTTTGCACGGCACCCTAGTTTCAATCGTATTTGATAGAGACCCCCGCTTCGTGTCTCATTTCTGGAAAAAATTGCAAGAAGCTTTGGGGACCACTCTGAAATTTAGCACGACTTATCACCCGCAAACTGATGGGTAATCAGAAAGAACAATCCATACTTTGGAAGATATGTTACGTGTGTGTGTGCTAGACTTCAAAGGTAATTGGGACGATCACCTACCTTTGGTGGAGTTTGCCTATAATAATAACTATCATGCAAGCATCGATATGGCACCATACGAGGCACCGTATGGAAGAAGATGCTGATCACCTCTATGCTGGACGGAAGTCGGAGACAGAAAACTGCTAGGACCTGAGATCGTGCAAATAACAAGTGATAAGATTCAGCTCATTCAATAGCGAATTCGTACTGTTCAAAGCCACCAGAAAAGCTATGCAGATACACGGAGACGAGACTTAGAATTTCAAATAGGCAATCATGTGTTCCTAAAGATCTCACCAACAAGAGGGGTTATCCGATTTGGGAAACGGGGAAAGTTAAACCCACGTTACATCGGGCCATTTGAGATACTAGAAAGGATTGGTCCTGTGGCATATCGCCTTGCGCTTCCACCTGAACTGTCTAATGTCCACAATGTGTTTCACGTTTCGATGTTTCATCGATATCTTCGGGATCCAGAGCATGTTGTTGATTATAAGAACCTGGAAGTTCAAGAAGACCTCTCTTATGAAAAGCAATCTGTACATATTCTCGATTATTGTGATCAAGTTCTTCGAAACAAGACTGTACCTCTTGTAAAAGTCTCATGGAGAAATCATCGCGTCGAAGAAGCAACATGGGAAACTGAAAGCCAAATACGAGCCAAGTACCCACACCTCTTCGAAAAGCAAGCTATGCCAAGTTTGAAGACCAACTTCTTTTAAGGAGGGGAGAAATGTGAGATCTGAATTTTTAATTTAAGTCAATACCGTGATTAGATCAATTACTCATGCATAGAATATACATATATATATATAAATATATATAATAATAATAATAAAATAAATACATAAATAAATGAATAGAGTTCCTTAGCATATCAAAAAGTGCTTCGTGAAAGCTTGTGGTTAACGTTAGATGTTATTAAAATAATGGAAATCTTTGTTTAAAGGAATAGATTGTGAGACACCGTATTTTTAATATTAAATATTTTAGTGAGCGGTAAGTGATGTTCTATAGTTGGATGGTGAGGTTTTTAGACGCAAACCTAACTTATAATTATACGTCATTTTAGGGATCGTTGTGGATTACCAAAGAGGATAATAACCCTTAAACTTGTAATTCAATTCTCATTAGCTAAAGGCCTAGGTGACTCTTGCTAAAAGATAAGGTCAAAGCCAAGGGGTAAATCAAAGCTAAGGGGTAAATAAGGAGGGGGAAAGTGAAATGCTGCCACGTATGTTCCACGTGTGTGGCTCTTGCTTGGGCCTCACACATTGTGTGGGTATAAATAGTGAAGTGAAGTAGATTAAGGAAGCACAAAAACGAAGTAAGTGTAAGGAGACGGAGCGTAGCAAGTGAGGCTCTGGAGCACGGGAAAAATAGGGATAAATTTACATCAGATATGAGTTATATTATACCTTGAGCTGTCATAACATGTTTTAAATATGTCTTGAATTACCAAAATATATTTTACGAATGTTTTGAGTTACCACAATTTATTTTATATAATTTATGTTTTATGGTTATGTTAATGTTTCAATCGCATGGATTATTTTATGAGCTCTATTTGCTTAAATTGAAACCCATGGATATGTTTGTTTAACTTTTAATAACTATTTGACAATGATTTTGTAAACAATTATTTTCTGTAAGTACCACCACAGGAGCCCCACACCTTGGGGGACTTAAATAAACTATTGGCCCCTGTTTGGCCACCTTATGGTCCTCTGTTTGTCATGGATCCATTGACCCCTATTCTGATTGTCACTCTAGTGACGCTTGTTCTATTCTGTTCTGTACTGTGGTTATAATTATTTATATAATTTCTGTATTTCAGTATCTACCACTTAAATAATTTGTTTATTCAACTTAAATTATGTTAACGTTTTAGTTTAAATAACTATCCATGGCTATTTTGTGCCCCTATACTCAAAGTATAATATTTCCCACTCTACTATGTGTTTATAGTTGTTACCCCTTTTAGGTGACAAGATTTAGCGGGATCAAGATGGGGGATAAATCACAGTGTCTTCTTTTCTTTTTTTTTTTGTACTATCTATGTTTTTAATTGGACTCTTGTAATAAAATAAAAGTCCAAATGACTATTTTTGTTTCTTTTTAAGAAACTTTTGGTACCCAATTATTTTATTTTAATTTATTTAATTATTCGTTGCGTTACTACTACAGAAATTTTAGAATTATTTTATTTTTATCTTATTGCAACGCCAAACCTTTGGGTATTGGGTTTGGGTCGTGACACACCAAATCCGTGAGGACTCACAACAATACAACTATAATATTCAAAGCATAAATTAACATATTAAACGGCCCAAAAACAACACAAAACAGTGCTGAAAATCAGATTTAAGAGGTGGAAAATATGAGCAAAAATGGAAGAGAACAAAGAGGTTACATCAAGCAAATAAGCCTAAGAAAGAGTGGCTAACCCCTCTACTTTTTGTAACTTTTAATCACATATTTCAACCCCAAAATACTCTGAAAAATGATATGTAAAGACAGGAAAAATAGAGGAAAAGAGTAAGAGAAAAGATGATGAAAAGGTTCAAAGTTCACGTCTTGAAAAGAGGAAGATCTTCTTAATTAACAAACTTAATTTTAAACACCCTCAAGTTTCTAAAATATGGTTCGAAACTTCAACAAAAAGCTTCAAGAAGAAGCTCTAATGGTATATGTATTGTATATGTATAGTTTAAGAAGGTTTAAAGATCAATGAAGCTTTTAAGATGAAAGTATGTCCAAGCTCTTGCAAATATCTCCTAGAAAAACTCTCTAACCTCTAGGTTCTGAAAATGTCTTGAATTCTTTACAAGAAAGCTTCAAATCCAAGCTTTAATGGTGTATGGAGAGTGAGAGTTGATTTGAAAAACAAAAGAATCTTGAAGGTTCAAGGATAGTTCTAAGCACTTGGAAGGTTTTTCTAACCCTAAAATCTGAAGTGGGAGGTCTTATTTATAGAGTTTGAGATGTTTTGGTCGAAAATATCTCCAGAAATTGCGAGGTGGCAAAATCTCGTGTATGGGAGCAAACTGCTATAAAACACTCTGCCTAGCGCTATTAAGACTCGGCCGAGTCTTAAAACCCACGGTCGTTCCAAATAACGAAAGGTCGGGTCTAAAAAGGCACTCTGGACTAGTTTTCACTAAAACCTGGCCGGTTCTAAACAAGCCACGGCCGAATCTAAACAAACCCGGTCGGGTTAAACAAAACTACTCTCAACTCCAACTTCAAATGGACATATCTCCCTCATCCGAACTCTGTTTTAGGTGATTCTTGAATCTAAATTGAAGCCCCAAAAGTTCACTTTCCAATGGTGGTGGCCTCACATCTAAATTTCAAGAGCACAAAAAAATATGTTTAATTTAGTGAAGGTTGTTCATTTATTTCTTAACGGTTTGATGCTCAATCTTTTTCTAAACTAGTTTTCTTCCATCCCCTCCTATTTACTTCAACTACAAACCTATAAATAAGATTTTTTTAAATATTTGTCAAAGGGTTCACTTCTCTTCCATTTATTTCCACTTTGTCCTTACTCGGTTTATTAAAAAGTGCAATATTTCAATCGAAATGCAAATCTCGGAACATCGTAGAAACATTTGGAAAAATATTTTGAAAAAAAGGTTTTAAGGTCTAAAATAGTTTGGCCAAAATGAGGTGTAAGGTTTGGGAATAGAGCTTGAATCTAAATTTCTTTACTGAGAATTGAAAAGTTTGCAGTGTAACTTTCATCATTGGGTGTTAGGAATGAAGCGCCCAAGTCTTAGGAACGATCAAAATGGGGTGTCTACACATACATACATACATATGTGTATGTGTATGTACTTAGACCATCCATTCTTTCTATAGGTTTATCTCTCTAGATTATTTTTTGCAGCTTACCTCTGAAGGCTTAGGCGATTGGTTTAGAATCTGAAGCATTGAGGTTCGTCGATCTCTTTTACTATCACATTTACAGATCCACATTTTTCTTTTACAAAATCATTCAATGATCATTTAGGTTTTAGTTTGATTTTCAAATTCTAGGTCTGAATTTATAGTTATTGTCAATGTGTAATTTGATTTGAATTACTGATTTATTTATTTATTTTTAGAGATCTAAATTGAGAAAGAGAGAGTTGCAAATGGAGTAGTCGTGTACATTACTGGTCCACTGTGATAAAGAAACATCAGATTTGAGTTTTTTTTTTTTTTGTAGTTCTTTTTGCTTAAGGTTTAGTTGTTGTTGATGATGATGAATCTGTGCTATGATGGTAATAGGGTTTAAAGTAGATAAGGTTTGGTTTGGATTATAACAGAGAGGTGTTGGTATATGTATGTATATCTGTAAGTGTGTATATATATATATATATATTTGTGAGTGAGTGTATATATGAGACAGATTTGGAAAAATATTGATGTTCATGATGATGATTGTAACAAATAAATAAAAAAGTTGACACAAATTTTCAACATATAAAAACAAATTGAATAGATAGAAAGGATTTAGGAAAAAAATTGAACAAATAGATAGAATTTAGGAGGAAAAATTGAACAAATAGTCAAAAATTTTGAACAGATAAATAGAATTTAGGGAAAAAATTAAACAGATAAATAAAATTTAAGAGAAAAATTGGACAAATAAGGAAAAATTAAACAGTTAGTCAAAAAATTTGAGTAGATAGATATAAATTTGAACAAATATACAAAAAAATTGAACAGATGGATATAAATTTAAGCAAATAGTGAATGAAAAGTCAAACAGATAAAAAAAAGTTAATGAGCAAAATTGGAAACAAAAATTTTTCTAGGACTTCTCACCAAACCATTTTATAAAGCGTGTACTTCTCATCAACAAAAAATATTCACTAGACCTAATACTTTATACTTTCTTTAGATTGCATTTATTACCAATTTTCTCTAAGTGCTTTCCTATCTAAATTGATTTTGTATTCCTAAATTACTCCCTTTCGATCTAAAGTATCTTCAACTTTTCTTTCATTTACAAATTTTGAATTTCTAAATCAGTGATGCTACGTAGCTCGAATCCGAGCTTCCCTGAATCCCCCGAATTCAAAACGACGTCGTTTCGTCGTTTTGATTTTTTTTTTTCCAATAACGCAGAAGGAGAAAGAAAGAAAGAAGGAGGAGGAGGAGGAGGAGAGTAGCAGAGAGAGAGAGAAGAAGAAAAAAATTCATCAACAACATCATCATTAACAACCATTCAACCACAACATCAACAACATCAACATCATCAACAACCATTCATCATCTTCATCATCAACAACAACATATTCATCATCACCATCATCATCATCAACACATTTTCAGAAGAAAAAAAAAATCGGGCTTCGATCTGAAAAAAAAAAACGGGCTAAGGAGATGGGCGATCGGATGCGGAGGCGACGGCGAGCGGCGAATGGCGAGCGGCGATCGGTGATCGACCCTCTCTCTCTTTCCATTCCTTCTTCCCCTCTCTGCTCTTTCTCTCCCTCGTTCTCTCTCTCCCTCTGTTTCAGTTTCAGACTGCATAAGAAGAAGAAAAAAAAAAAAAAAAAAAACTGCCCAAAACAACGTCGTTTTGGGCAGGCGAGGGATTCGGGGAAGCTCGGATTCTAGCTACAAACCATTTTCCTTTCTAAATTTGTTTTAATATTGATTTTTCATACTTAATTATATCCATTGATGTAACCAGTGACAATAAAGTTGTTTTGTATTAAAGGAGTTA